TTGCATCCGTATACACCATGCATGGTGCATACGGATGCATAGCATAATTTGCCCTACACGAGTCATAGTTGTAAGAGGTCAACAATCATATTCATATCAACATTAAACTTGGAAAAATGCCTAATTTACATGCTCAATTTGCTAGTTAATGTTTGAAATGAATTTGTCTTCCTTCATTTGTGATGGTTTTTTACATTAGATCCATCACGAATTGAAGATGGATATTTGGAATGGATAAATAACGAAATGCTAGGCTGCAAGTGCCCTCTTGACCTCTCTAAAATTCTCATTGAATATTCGAACAAAGTACAAGTCCAACAAGAATTATTACAATAGAATATAGGGAGTGAGGGATCTAAGAATGAATTCAAAGGCGATGCCTGAATGAATTATCCAATCATATATATATTATGGCAATTTATATCATGGATCAAGGTACATAATTTCATAACAAAGACACAAAAAATCACAACACAAGACATATATACATGTTTTATTAAGTATTTACTTGTTTTTTTTTTTAATATATGATTTAAGTATATAATTTGTGTTTATAGGTACAAAATTTTACAATACACGACACAAAAATTCATATATAAGACACAATTACTAATTTATTTCAGGTACAGAATTCATACTCCTAAGATACCGAATTTTATAACCAAGACACAAAAAATCATAAGACAAAATACAAACGCATGAACCTTGGTCCATATTGCAGTGTGAACGCTGGTCCATAGTATACTGATTGGTTCAGGGAAGGAGCTTAAGAGCATCTGCATCAGTTGGGGAGATTTGGGGGATAATGTAAGAGTGATTAGGAAAGAGAATGTGGGAGGGGAGAGAAAAAAAAAACAAAAAAAAAAAAAAACAAAATATTAAAAAAAAAACTAATGAAATCAGACGCGTGCACTGCACGCACCCAGCCTTCCTCTTGGACTGCGTGATACGCGCAGTCCGTGCGTTGCTCTTTTTTTTTTTTTTTTTTTTTTTTTTCATTCTCCCACCCTTTGCAGGAGAATTATATTTGTATTCTTTCTTCTCCATATTGGTTATTATCTTCAACATGAGAGAATTCAACTTACATTATCTCCATATTATGCATTGATGTGGTTGCTCTAAGTTGGGCGTGATGAACTAAGCATGATGTGCAAATTATGATTAGGGACAAAGTTTTGGGGCTAAATTGCAAGTGTCAATGGGTCTAGATAGAAAGAACTGAAGCTTAGGGGTGGAGGTGGAAAGCATGGGGTGTAATATTACAATCCTTATATCATGTATTGCACTATGAATCTTGGTGCATGTATATTTGTAAAATGTAACAGTTTTCACATTTTATAACAGCCTAACTTAAAATAATAATAATAATAATAATAATAATAATAATAATAATAATAATAATAATAATAAGAAGAAGAAGAAGAATAATACATTGATTTCATAAACCTAAAATGAGTGGCACCAATCAAAATTGTAAAAGGTTAACAATGAAATTAAAATTAGAGATCAATTGTGTCAATCAATTGAAAGTGAGTGATTTAATGACGCCAAATTAAAATAGTACAACTAAATGCAGCAATATCGCAATAGTTGATGAGTAAAAATGTTTTTTTTTTTTAGGATACACGAAATGAAAAAAAAAATATAAAAATAAAAGAGAAACATATATAACACAAAATCCTATAAATTTAAAATACGTTGCACAAACGTGTTTACAAAATGTAACTGTTTGACTCCACAATATATTACACACAAAAAAAAAATCAAATTACACAAAAATTCATAAACTTAACAATGGGTGGCGCCAATCGCGTTTGTAAAAATTAAGTAACGCTTTGACTAAACGTTTTAATATAGCCTAACCTAACAAAAAAGTAACAAATTACATAAAATTTCATAAACCTAAAATTGGTGGGCACCAATTACGTTTGTAAAAAGTAACGGTTTGATCCACCATTTATTACAACCTATCATCACACCAAAAAAAAAACCAAACAAATTACACAGAATTTCATAAACCTAAAATGTGTGGCACCAATCAAATATGTAAAAGGTTAAAGATAAAATTTAAATTAAAGATTAATTGTGGCAACCAAATGAAGGTCAAGATTCTAAATATACCAAAAAAGAGTATAACTAAATGTAACAATATCACAATAGTTAATTATTACAAATCATTTTTCTCCAGATATACACAAGGATGAAAATATATAAAAATAAAAAAAGAAACATATTTTTAAAAAATCCCATAAATTTTGAAATGGTTGCACAAATTGTGTTTACAAAACATAACGGTTTGATTCCACAATATATTAAAATTAACCAAAAAATAGTAACAATATATATATATATATATATATATATATATATATATATATATATATATACACACACACACGAGTAAGTGTAAAAGGTTATTATATCATAATAATTTATGAATAGTATTTTAATTTATAAAAGTACCCTTACTTTCCAATCCCACATAACAAAATTCCATTTTTGACATTGTAATTTGTTAATTAAATTATAAATAATTTATGTAAATATTATTTACTTCATTTTACTAACCAAATAATTTTGCAACATATACTCCATAAATAAATAAAAGGTGCGTGACTGTAACACGTGCATGTGTTGAGCTGGTGCCACGTCTAGCACATGTCACTGAGCACATCAAAAGTGGCGGACATCTAGTCTATTTGAAACTGTCCTCTATTTTTTTTTCTACATCAAAAGTAGTGAACAATTTGATTTTTTTATTGATTAATAAGTATATATTATTTTTGTAACATCATATAAAATCGATCAATTTATATACAAATAATAAATATAAAGAGTTTTATTATCATGTGTTTTGCGGATGCCAATAGTGAATAGAGAGGGAGGAGAAGTCAAAATTAAATTTTGAAGGGTGTTGGGGTGTTGAGCAAAGCGCCAGCACACAAGTGAGAAGGGAGACCTACTTTATGAATTTATGAGTGTAGACTTGTGATGCTAATGTAGCCGTTCCGGCTTAATCCTTGGTGCTCCTCGTTTTTCGTGTAATCCCAGAATGAGAAAGGGAAGAGCAAACAAACCCCTTTTTAAACCCCCACAAAACATCATCAGACATAAACTACACATCTGCCTGTCTATACTATGGCAAGAGCAAGACACTGCACTATTTGCGACTGTGTTTGATTCATTCTCCTATGTAAAGCTCCAATCTTTGGCATCATCCTCTTTCTGAACCAATTAGGGTTTTTTTTTTGAGCTCTTTTGCCATGGCATTCAGGCCCCAATTTTTCCCTAGGTTGTTTTATCCCCCCAAGAGGTGAGAACAAACAACACCCTTTTCTATCGTCTTGTGTTCTTGAAGTTTTTGCTAGTAGCAATGCAATCCCTCATTTTCTTCTGCAATTTATGGTTTGTGAGTGAAAAGATTTGAAACTGATATGCAATTCTGCATAAAGATCGAATCTTTTGTGGTGGGTAGTCATTTAAAGTGCACATAAGTTCAGTAATTGCATGAGAGGGACACAGTTGAATTTTCATGTGATTTGTATGACTAATGTTTTTGGTAATGTAGCATGCTCTGCATTGGAGTAGGTGTCTAATGTAGGATTTGTGAAAATCCCTGTAGTGTTTCTCCTTTGATTTTGTTTGTCATTTCCCAAACCATGTTGAATTTTATCTGATTATGGCTAATGTGTTCGGGTGGGTAGCTCAGTTGGTTCTTCTGTGTCAAATTGTGGTCAAGGACAGTTGAGTCACCGTTATTTACCACTTCTACAAATCCTGTCGGGCAGGGGTATGGGAGCCCCGGGGCGAGGGATTTTGCTTTTTTGGGAAATGATAATGGCTAATGTTTTTGGTAATGTAGCATGAGTCTGCATTGCATTAGGTGTATAACCTAGGATTTGTGAAAATCCTTGTTAGTGTTTCTCTGATTCTGCTGTCATTTCCTAACCAATGTTGTGTTAGGGTTAACTAATACAGCAAATGAAGCTATACATTTTATTTAATCATGTTAATGCTCCGATTAATTACTACTAATTAGTGATTATTAGCATGGGTGTGTCTCCTTCAAGACTAAACCCTGTTTACATGCTTCTGCAGGCCAGATCAAGAACCGGGAGCGATGGTTGCTTCAGAGATCTCGGGCAATTCAGCGTTAACGCCTGGATGGTTTTGCAGTTTGATGTGGTTGGACATGTAGAGTGATAAGTACATTGTTGTTGTTGTTGAAGTAAGGAATGAAGCCATCGGTCCGTGTAGCATATTAATAGCTGTATTTAACTTACAGTTGCTGATTTGCTATAGCTCAATTTATGTTGTATGAAATTTTTCTTTTTTATTTTTTTTGGTTTGGGTTTTCTTTCTAGTTATCCTGGAACTTGTAGTAGTAGTGTTTGAAGTTTGCACATTGTGCAATCTTGGACCTATGTAGTATCTGTTGGCATGGGAATTTGCTTTTCAGCAGGAAATGTAGTCTCATGTTGTCTTGTGGGTTGCTTATGATTAATTTACATTGGTTCTCTGTTAAGGATTGGTTTGTTCTGTTTTGACAGAATTCAAGAATGTCATAAACATCAGAATTTGCAAGGAAAAAGCATCAACACACATAGAACCAACAACTATGGGTCTATTGGCCTTTTTGGTTTGAGCCAGTTAGCTATAGGTAACATAGGCTGGTTTACCTCATTGTGGTCTTTTACCAGTTAGGGTCACAAAGACGGGATTTACTCAATGCACCCCCTTTTACCAGTTAGGATCACAATGCGGATTTACCCAATGCACCCCCTTTTACCAGCTAGAGTCACAAGGCGGGATTTACCTAATGCACCCCCTTTTACCAGCTAGGGTCACAAGGCGGGGCGAGATTTACCCAATGCACCCCCTTTTACCAACTAGGGTTATAAGGCGGGATTTATCCAATGCACCCCATGAATAGTGGTTGCTGTTTCCCTCGTCATCCAAACAACAGCCAATGACCATGAACAAATTGGGAACTATGGTGTATAAACATTTACTACATACATGTGATAAAGAAACCTCAGCCAAAATTGTTTTGTACTGCAAGTCAGGAAATACATGTTAACATGGCTGGAGGGCTCATGAGTTGATTACAGAAAACAATGGAGAAATGAGAAAAAAAAAAAAGGAAAAAAAGAAAAGGAATTGAAAATCCATATATCAAGGTAATAATAGGAAATCTATATTCAGTTCTCAATGTCTTCTGCATTTCCTTCAATTGTAAAAAGATAACTTATCCAGCACAGAGGGGCAGATGGGGCAGTTTACCATTTGGGGGTATGGCACTATACACTCTTTGACCAACAAGGAAAGCTTGGACTTTTTGACAAACCATGTTTCTACAGGCTCTGCAGTAAATATGGTGTCATTTTCCAGATACTAAAACAGTTTGAATCTCATGAAAAACAGCAATAGGATCAGTTGAGCACTGTTTGAAAGTTTGAAACCAACAAATGTGGTTTTAGCATTTCTTGTTGGCATCAAATTGCATATTTGGTCATGTGAGATTCAAACCAGTCGAAGATTTGGTCCGACTGCAAGCTTGTCATTTCGTGGTATCCATAGGCGAGATTCATTTCTTCTTGAATGTGTTTGGCTAAAGACATATCTGGAAGAAGAGACTTCATCTCCTTAAACGCTGCATTCCATTGTATTGCTCGTCCATCTTTTGTCATATAACCGCTCTTGTTCACAAACCCCTTCTCCTGAAACAGCCCAAACAGTTCCACCGAGGTGGTCAGATCAAGACCTTGAATACGGTTAGCTAAGAATTCAGGTGAAAGTGGAAATTCCATGCACTCGATCTCTGCAACATCAACACCATTCCCCTTCAAACGTACAAGGAATTTCTCGATGCTAAGCTTTCTAGCTCCATCTTTGGGCATGTGCACAAAGAGGGTCGGTGGGTATCCCTTTGTAGTATCGATTTTATCAAACAATCCTTCGGCAATCATTAGAGTAATGCTACTAAATCGTACTTGTGTAGCAAGAAGAGAAACAAAGTATCCACCCGAGGAAGCGCCCAGAGCTACAAGAGGCAGGTTTTCGAGCTTTTGTCTTGCAACCCACCATTTGATAATATCTTTAACGCTATGCCTTTCTGCTCCAAATGACCAGCACCTTCCTGCACTTGATATGGCAAGAACCGCAAACTTTCTAGCAAGAGCTTTAACTACAACAAGCCTTTCTTCAGGAAGACCGACACAGTTTGGGCACTTCGACGATTTATCCCAAAAGTTGGCTGCTTTGCCATTACAACCATGCGCAATAAACAGAACCGCCTTTGGCATGTCAGGTATTTGCCATATCAAATCTGTCCCATTCTTGATTTCAACAGTGGGGTCTAGCATAACACCATAACTCAAACTGTTTGAATCTTGCTTCAATATTGGTAGTGAGGTACCAGATCTTTCATCATTTCTCCCGAACAAAATAAACGAGACACACAGGAATAAGAAAAATACACCTAAAACTGTCAACCGAATATACTGAGTGTTGCTTGATTGCTTCTGTAACCTGTTTCCACGTTTAAACATGTCTACAAGATACAAAATGCGACAATGCCATTAGTTTTTCCACCCAAAAAAAAAAAAAAAAATCAAAAATGAAATGCATCCTAATACTCTGATCTCACTAATTTGACCATATAAGCTGTCAAAACTCTTAACATCACAGCATCAGTCCTCTAACCAAATCCTCTTCTCTGCTCTCTTTGAACAAACCACAGCTAATTCAAAACAAAATTCTCATCATATTTTTATAAAGAGCAACAAATGTAAAAATTCCTTAAATACTGCACAAACCCATCTTCATAGATAGAGAAAGGAAGAAAAAAAAAAGTTAAAAATTCCAGGTTTCATATCATTATAATTAGACTTCATTCTAATCCCATTTGCATTCTAAGAACACAAAAGAAAATTACTTTATGTCTCCAGTAGACTGTAAACGTGTTGAAATTAATTCAAACATGTTTTAAATTCTCTTTATTTTGAATTTTCGCATAGCAAATTAATACATTATATATGAGTTGAGTGAGAGTAAATCGTTTTATCAAGCAGTTTATGGGCATGGAATGATTTGAGTATAATATGAAGAAAACAATGAATTGAGATCACAATATTTATAAAATATACTGAAATGAGAATATTTACCTGGAACTATTTGTACAAACCTCCAGTCGATCTAGATTGAAGTTTTTCGGTGGAGATAGAGAGACTTGCATCTAAAAATAGGAGTTTTAGGCTTATGTACACGCGCCTTAATGCGAGTATCAAGACTTAAAGGGTTTTTGCTAAAATCAGCATTTATTTTTATTTACATTATTATGTTTCACTTGTAGTACTAAAAAAGAACATTATGTTTAATTTCACTTTTATCTAATTATAATAATTAATTCTCAATTCTATAAATTCATTTCTAGTCTAGTCTAGGCATATAAGGGTGTAAATTGAGTCAGTGCACATGAGAAGTCCAATTCTATTAAAAATATTCTTAATAGTTGTAGTTTTTGAGAAATTTTTTGCCGATGATTAGAAAATAAAAAATTGGAGGAAAGTTAAAAAGGGAACCAAAAAAAAAAGGTAAAACAAATTTGAAAAAAAAAATCATCTTAACGCATCTGGTTGAGCGTTCTCCCTCTCTCATCTGCATAAGTATTTTTACCTAAAAAATCTACACAAAAATCACTATTGTGGTTACCCTAAGGCTCCGTCAAATTTTATAATTTTTAAAACCCAAAAAAAAAAATTGATAAAATTAGTTCACACCGTCAAAATTTTCAATAGTGATTTTTGTGTAAATTTTGAGTGAGTAAAATATACTCTGTAATTTTTAGTACCAGACACTTATGAGGTTCCATTTTTGTTGATATATCATCTCAATTTACACAGATGCACACCCTTAGGCCTCAAGTAGATATTCTTAGGTTAATTTTTTTTGATATATGAATGATGATTAGAAGTGAAACATTTTCAATAGTTTATAACTAAAATTGATCAATTTTGATAAATAAATTCTACAACTCCAGGCGTAATTTTGACAAAATTTGATATGTATCCAACATTTTAAATTTTTAATATAAAAATCAAGGTTAAAATAATCGTTAGGCACTCCTCAAGTGCTCAGGGGCGTCTAGGCGGCCTAGGCTGTTAGAGCTTAAGCGGTCTAACCAGCCGCCTAGACCATCAATTATGGTGATACGCTAGGTGGCAGGCCAGCGCCATTAATTGGTGCCTATACAGAACTTTTGCAACACTGATAAGAATAGACAAATCCCTTGTACGGAAATCAATGTGTTTTTTTTTTTTTTTTTTTTTTACCACGGTACAAAAATTGGACAATCTGTGACAAAACACCGTCTACTCACATCAATGTCTAGGAAAATCACAGATCTACCCATTTTTTGGTACATAAGAGGCGATTTTGTTTGGTTTTGCCTTCATCTCTGAAATGTATCAGCAACTTCAGCAGCAAACTGTGCAGCCATGGACATAAAAAGGTGCAATCTTGAAATAAAAGTGGGCTGAAAATTGGAACCAGATTATCATAGTAACAGTTAGGGTGGTTGAGGATTGGAAAACAATGTTGAGGATGAAGAAGAAGAAGAAGAGATGACTACCTGAGCAAAAAGGGCCGAAAAGCGGCATCAGCCATGGATGGAACACCATAGCCAAAATTTTCTTATGTTCAAAACCAAGCCCACAGCAATATCCATGCTCTATTTACAGTTGCACCAGGAGTTAGGGGTAACAATAAATGAAAATAGAGATTCCAAAATTTCTGCAACTTTTTTCGACAAGATGGGAATGTAAAACGAAACTAATTCTAGAGTCTTGGCATGGAAAGAGGATGAAAGAGGAACAGACCTCCTGACAAAAGTATGTACAGATTCAGATTGTGTGCAAAAGAATGGCAATGCTTGAATCGCAAAAGCACACCAAACCAAAATCTTGCAGTCATTTTGGATCATAGCGTTCGGCCAAAGTAGCGGTGGAGCTCAACGAAGCCTTGGAATCTGTTGCAAAAGTCACATGAATGTATATATATTGGTAACAGATAAAGAACGGTTAAAAACTTAAAATCAGAGAGAGTAATGTTGTGAGATATTAACCTTCAAGTTCGGGGCGCATCCAGTCCTGGGCACACATCAACGCTTGCAGAGTATCGGATCTCAGCGAACCCCGAGCACTGTCAACTGCTCTATTTCCAGTGTCGTAGATAAACTCGAGCGAAACTTTCGACAGGGGAATTCCAAGAATGTTGCTAGCCATCATGGATAAAATGGGATAGCTTGGTGTGTGAACCTTCCACCAATCCAATATGTTAAAATCAACATTCCGAGGGAACAGTGTCTCCTCCAAATATTTGTCCAAGTCTGATTTAATATTTTGGCTCTCCGAAGTTTCATAGAGGAACCGGTCATAGCCTGTTAGCCGATCTCGAGAATCAGACCCGCGATCATCTCCCGGACCATGAGAAGCTAATGGTGAATAGATTGCATGGCCGTGATACAGAGCCTTCATGCAGTTTGAAACAATATCAATGCATTTTGGAGACTCGGCACCGTAAATCTGTGGATAGTAGTACTCGAGCAGTTTCATCTTGAAGCGCGGATCTAAGATAGCTGCAATTGCCAGGGCCAAGCTGCACTTCTTCCAATATTCATCAAATCTAGTTTTCATTTTTAATGCCAAAGAATGAATAAAATCATCCGAGTTTTGACACCATTGAATCAACTGCAGATGAATATCGCAAATTTCAGGGAAATACATATTTGCAGTCGAATACTTGCTTCCTGCAAAAACATTGGAAACATCGTAAAAGTGCTTTAAAAAGGTAGTCACGGAATTTGCCCTGTCCCACTCTGCAATAGAAGGGCAAACTCCATACTGAGGGTCGTGTTCTTGCAAAAGGGGAAATGCATCTTTGTATTCTAAAGCAGCTTCAAGCATAATGTATGTGGAACTCCATTGATGCTTATTATCAAGACGTAGCACTTTCTGGCTATTAATTCCGGCAAGTTGAGCCATTTCATTGAACTTTTCTTGTGTTGCCTGGGAGCGTTGAACATACTGAACACTTTCCCGAACTTTGCTGAGTATCTCAGATGACTTCTCCAAAGTATCTTGGACCATCAACTTGATCAAATTTGCTGCACAGCGTATATCAAATAATTGTCCATCACAAAGGAGAAACCTGTGCTGGCAGAGTTGCTCTCGGATTCTGCTAACGATTTTGTCATAGATAGAATAGTTATCAAATGTCATCGAAAACAATTTTCGATCAATATCCCAGTTTCTTAGACTTGTCATGATAATTTCTGAAAGCACATCCTCTGTTTGGGAAGGATCAATCATTAAAAAGTTCAGAATCTTCTTCTTCAATTGCCAAGAATCATCAATATAATGTGCTGTCAAGCATAAATATTCAGCATCTCCATTAGCAGTCCATGTATCAGCACTTAGGCTTATCCCTGGCAGTTTATCCAACTCCTCGTATACTTTTTGTCTCTCCTTCAAATAAATTTCCCTACAATCAGCCTCAACTCCATCAAATGTTGGGATATCAAACAAGGGTTGAAGATCTCTAGCAAATATCCTAAAGCCAGAATGCTCAACCATAGCCAAAGGATAGCCATGTAATATGATCATGCGAGCAAGATCAAGCCGACTCCTTCTGTTATCAAAATTAAAACTTCCACCTTCAATCCCATCTTTTACGCAGTTTTGATCTAGCTTAGTTCTTACAATGCTGACTGCTTCATCATTTCCGTGCTCTTGATCAAAACTAAAATTTGCAACAGCAAAAGTTGTTTCCTTTCTCTTGCCCCTCGTTAGCAACTGGCTTATGTCTTGGTTAGATCTTCTTCTACATCTGATTAAATGATTCCTCAAATGCGAAGTTCCACTGGTACTTGACCCACTAAGTTTCCTATTACAGTGCCTACAAATAGCTATGAAAGTATCACCTTTCCTGACCCTATCAAAATCATTCCAAACGACTGATTTCAGTCTACTAGAATTGACTATGACCGACTCATCTGCTATCTCCATTGCTTTCCTGATACTCTACCAACACCTGATATCATTGTTAAGCAAGATGTTAGAGTAGGTTAAACAAGTCAACAATTTTTAGCTCTAATAAAATGATATTCTCAAAAAAAAAAAAAAAAAAAAAAGAAAGAAGAGCTCCAACTAGCTCATAGAAAACATCTCATAAAAAGAGTGTTCACAGGTTAAAACAAAATAAGATAAAGGATGAGGAAAAAATGTGACACTTCAGAAGAAGACATTGTATACAACATCAACAAGAACTACAACCTACTCTACTCCATCAGTGTCTTGATTTTTGACTTAGAATAGTACTGGTTGCCCCAACCAAAAACTAAATATCCAATAGCACCTGATTTTATAACTCAGGCATTTAATTTAAGAGGTCAAAAAAACTTCATTCCTGTTACTAATAGTTGCACAAATAGCTCCTCAATTAGCATTTCTGTTTATCTCAGAAGCATATCTTCACAATCAATCAAGCCAAGTTCTTGAGGCATTATTACTCAACCATGCAAGCAAACTAAATTCCCGCAACCATATTTTACTTTTCTCCAAAAAGCATAAAATAAACACCACTAAAAACAGCATAAAATAAGAACCAATATAATATTTGACAAATGAATGGGTCATATTCTGTCCAAATATCTGACTACTCTGTAAAAATTGTATTTTATATAATTTTCATGTTAAATCCCAAATTAAACTACTTTTATTCTTTGGATGAAAATCACCTATGAACCACAGTTACGGAATTACAAAAAGAAACCATTTTTATGCTGCAGTTATGGAGCAAAAGTTCCATTTCGAAATTACAAACAAAATATTCGCCATTTAAACCTACTGAATTCCATATACTAGGGCAAACACAAGGGAAGCTGACAAATTGGAGGGCCAGTTCAAACTTCAAAGAAGAAAGACAACAAAGCGCCCGACCCAGCATCCCGATAACGGGTCTCACCCGAACCCAGAACCCGATTCGACAAAAAAGTGATAAGTAATTAGTAATCAGGCTAAAAAGGCAGACTCTTATTAAAACCCAACAAAAGGTGTCGGATCGGGAAGTGGCACGCCGGTAACCATATCCGAACAAAATAACCCTAGAAAGCTACAATTCGAACTTCAGGTCGCCGATAAAAATAAATAAATGCAGAAATATCATATTCAATTGCAAAACATGAATATATAAAAATATAAATATACACACACGAGAAAGAGAGAGAGTACTAAAGAATCTTCCAGGGACCTGGGTTAGGGTTTGTTCCACAGCTGTTCAGGCATGTGTGTAGTAAATACGAGTGAGTAAGTGTTTGTGTGAGCGAGAAAGAGCGAGCGAGCGAGCGAGAGAGAAACGGTTTGGTTAAGCGAGATATGTGTCAGCGTGAGAAATTGGTTGAATGGAGCAGATTTTTGGATTGGAAGGCGCCAACCCGATGCCGGCCCACCACGATCAACATACTGTTGCCCCAATTGGGCCCATCTGTCAAAGCCTGGGCTTCATCTCATTACAAGCCTCCATTGGCAAATTATACCGTGCACCACGGCGCACACCCAAAACGACGTCGTTTTGTACCTTTTTGCGTGTTTGTTGTTAATTCCTCAAAAAAAAAAAAAATTATATTTCGAATGTACAGAATTGTATAATAGAATACACAAAATTTTATAACTGAATACACATAATTTTTTTTTGAAAGGATAATACACATAATCTAACATAATACATAATATATATTAACATAATACACATAAACTCTTAAATCTTTAACAAAATTCATGTTTCGAATATATAGAATTATATAATAAAATGCACAGAATTTTATATCTGAAAATACAAAATTTTATATATGAAAATGCATAATTTTATAACTGAAAATTTTCATGTTATGTGCGCTCTTGTACACGTTATAACATTAGCCTCCATTGGGGGCATCTATTTATTATTTGCGACTCATCTCATTTATTATTATTTGGACCTAAGCCTATTGCATCTCATTATTATTATTTGGGCCTAAGCTTATTGCATTTCATTATTATTTGGGACTCGTCTCGTTTATTTAGAAGCTTATAATTTATTTTAAAATTGTCAATAACTCATCCAGTGAAGTTCAATCCCACAACATCTACTTGAGGAGTAATTTGGTGTCATTGAACCACAAGATCCTTGGCAAAATAAGCTTTACTGGGATTGTTACAAAATGAGCTCCATGAGGTTATTTATACTTATTCCACATCCTTAACGGAATATGGAGATTTACTTGATCGTATGACTACGATTATATTTCTAAAATTCACCCTAAAATTCTATGCAATCATGAGTTCTATAATGTTTTATAAAATTCTATAAATCTTTACACTTCAAAATGTTAAATTTTAATATGTAATGTAAACAATCATATTTAAAATTTAAATAGAAAATATCCTTTTTAGTCTCCTTACATTTATCAACTTATCAAAAAGTTAATTTTACCAAGCACTTTTAAGCATAATCAGCTAGTTTAAGAACTCTTCATTTTTCAGTTTATAGCTTATAACTTTTCAGCTTTCAGTTACTTTTCGGCTAAATTTGCCAAACACAGCCTATACCTCAACTCTACATCTTTTATTGAGTTTGTTATAAGTATCGAATATTGGGATATGTAAATATTAATATGTTGTCATTTAAGTAAAATATGTTTAGAAGATAGATTAAGGTTGATGGTCATGTTCTTTTCTTGTTGATGCAGAAAAGAAGGCTTTGACCAATCACAAAAGATATGCTTTCCTTTCACAGCATCATATTCTTTCTTCTGCAGATAAATGCCACTGGGCACCTGTGAGCTTCCTTCTCACCTGTATTCAATACCTCAGAGAAAAGTTAACAATCTCAAGAAGTCTCAAAGGAGCCAAAGAAGTTGCATATTCTGCTGCCATGGGTGCTGCTGCAGCTATTGTTAGAAACATGAATGCATTAGTCGGGTAGATTTTGTCTTACTAGTAATATTATGCATATCAAGCTTTTAATGTTTTTGATCCCGAGTAATTAACTGAAAACTTTTCTTTGATCATCTTGGTTGGAAACTAGCCCGGGCGTGATGCTTCTGTACCCTCTGTGAGTCAACATTCTTCTCGGTTTTATACTCAACTCGACTAAACCTTAACCTAATGTAGTTCAACCCGGTGGTGGTCATGACAGGTATGCATCGATGAGGGCTATAGAGAGCCCTTCGACGCTGGATGACCAGCAGTGGCTCACCTATTGGGTTCTCTACTCCTTCATAACCCTGTTTGAGTTATCCTTTTGGCAAGTCCTACAATGGTAAGAAAACACACGACATATCATATCACACTGAATATAATAAATCTTTTAATCATTGTGATATAAGGTTTCATGAATCATGTATCCAGGTTTCCATTCTGGACATTCATCAAGCTTGTGTTCTGTCTGTGGTTGGTTCTGCCAATTTTCAATGGAGCAGCTTATATATACGAGAAGTATGTGAGGAGATATGTGAAAGTTGGGGGTCTGGTAAACACAAACTACCCCGAGACACAGAGGAAGGCTCTCCAGATGATGAGCCTTGATGCCAGGAAATCTGTGGAGAGGTTCATAGATACCTATGGACCAGATGCATTCGACCGAGTGGTCAAAGCGGTAAGAAAAGATTCTAATAACATAAACAAAATTCTACTGTTAAGGGTGTGAATTTGGGAGAGTAGCGAGATTAGAGCAGTTAAAATCGCACCAGACACTTACCTCTCCAGTTGAAATTTCTCCAGTTCCAACCGTTCTTCCAAATGCACCCTAAGTTAGCTTAATCTCAACGGTTGATCTTTTGACATGTCTGCAGGCTGAAAAAGAGGCAAAGAAAATGCACTGAAGACAAAAGAGTGCAATTAGAGCTTCAGTTCAAGAAGATAACTGTGGAAAACTGGAAATGTATGGTTGAGATAGGTGTGTGGTCTATTTGTGAGTGTGTGATTCTGTAAAGATTAGAAACAATATAGCTATACATTTAATGGGTACAAAATTCAGTCGTTTCACAAAGATTCACAATAGCTATACAGGGTATATATATGTTCGGTCCTTGCACAAAGATTCACAACATATTAATGCACGCTGTTTCATGTTTAAAAGAATCGGGGAAATAATTCACAACAAGAAACACCTGTAGAATTTTTGCTGTATGTAAAGACTAAAGCGATTCAACACTGCACCGCATATGCCATAATGTAATGTTCCTGCAATATCTACTAATTGTAAAGGGTTGAGCGAGATGACCGGCTTTTTGAATTAGAATGATCAATCTTCAGGATGGCCTCGAGATTCTGGAAACATTTGAGTGTCCTCACCTGAAAGCGACACAAATCGTCCCAAATGTAAGCACATGCTGCCTAGCATAACAAAACGCCTAAAATAAGCACACACCTCTAAAGTGTCCATATTCAACCATATGTTGTTTCACAGAAATTTAGTTGTTTGTAATGTCTAATTTAGTAATTCAAAACATCGCGCAAATATGCATGTACACAAAGGCTTAAAATCTTAAATATAAGTGCACAGACATAGGAAGGGACAGGGTTCATACCTTCCAACGTCTTGCACGAGTAAGAATTTGATTGATTTCTTCCAACTTGGAAATTATTAGCCTGAAAGTTGGTCTTCTAGCGGGGTTCTCACTCCAACAGTCTTCAATTAATCTGATGAGAAGGCATAACAAGTTCAGTAACTGAGTCAATACATCATAATGTCCACCGTTCTAACATTAGAAGCCCTCATTGCAGAATTAAAAAGAGGATTTTGCTCAGTTTTGAAAACGCTTTCAAGAATTGAGTGTTGCCCAAGGGCTTTCTCAGTTACTCTTCCAGAAACCACCAAGTTACAGACAGCCTCCTTCCCTGTCTGACTGTCTCCAAATATAAGGGGAGGCTAAGAGGGTGGGAATAGATGGGTGGAAAAAAATGTTCATATCTACAAACTTTACTTTAATTACCAATGAGATTCCAATGTAAAATCACAGGAAAAATGAAAAATGAAGAAAAGAAAAACAAAAACTTAATGGCTTACTCTCTGAGTCCATGAGCATATAGCTTCACAGGAGCCCTAAAGGGTGGACGTTCATTGGCAGCATATGCTTTGGCAACATCAATTTCTTGCTTTGTTGGAAAAGGGGGGCATCCTTCAATCATCTGTAAAGTTAAAATGTAATATGATGTTATTTTTTCACAAAAACGTAACCCAACCAAAAAAAAAAAACATTGATATCTTTTTTAGAAAATGACAAGTAAGCCCGTACCTCCTGTAGAATTAGTGCAAACGAGAAAACATCAACCATGGTATCATATTCCTCATTCTTAAGAACTTCTGGAGCTACATATCGCCCTGTCAAAGAAGAAACATTTAAAATAAAATTCCGCATCACTAATAATGAAGAATTAGGGGTATTTGGGGAACATCATATTAATAAAAAGGATTAGAAGTCAACAGGGTATCAACCATCTATACAATGAACATGGGCACTAAATTGATGATCACAATGTTTTTCATAATTAGGTATCAAATGAAGTCCAAGAGGGTAAAAATCACAAACTGTGCAATGACGAGGGTTTAGCATAAAAAGAACTGTAGATAAAAGTTGCAGAAACAAGAGATGCAGCAGAATAACAATGTACTCAGTAATTGTTTTTATCATAGATCTGACCTATTTACACCATCAATGCACATAAAAGGTTCTGGTTAATTGACCAGAGACACTGCTAGACTAGATGGCTTCTTATCTGAGAGAATACTTACATGAAGTCTCCTGGCTTGTCAAAGGTTTATCTTCTTTTATTGATTTTGTAAATCTCATAAGTTTGCTTAGTCCAAAATCAGCAACCTTTAGATGTCCAGAATCATCCCGTAGTATATTTCTGCTAATTCAATTGAAGAGTTCAAAAGATTCTGCACTCTGCTTAGGTACTTCAGCATAAACTAAGACAGAAACACAGTTTTACTAGAAAGTAATCAGATAAAACAATAAGGAAACTTACGAAGGCTCCAGATCTCTATGAATTATTGCTTCAGGCTTATGTTCATGCAAGTAGTTCATTCCTCTGTCAGAGCATAAAAATAAAGATCAAAGGTAGAAACAGTAGAAAATAATAGACAGATAAACCTCTTATTGCAAGCAGATGACTTGAATTATTCCATCAAACAGATAATTTGATCCATATTATTTTGCAAGCCCATATGAGATAACTCCATGACATAAGACACAAGTGCACATGTGCACACACATACAATAAGGTGGGTGGGCTTGTAATAGCCAGTGTTCACCCATGGTCCTGTTGGCTCATGCATTCAAGCCATATAAACAAAAGAATGATAAGATATTGTACATCTTTCTTCCCAGACCCTGCAAGATATTGTGGCCTTGTGAAGTGAACAGATATGGTATAATAAACCACAGCAGAACACACAAAGGGAGTTATGGGAACATTGTTTTCAACACTTACTCAGACTACAGAGAAATTATTTATTATGCACATCAAGCATCTGTCAATTGGCATGTGGTAATGCTAATATGAAACTAAAAAATTGCCCACGTCTGCTAACCTTGCAATATCCAGTGCAAACTTCACAGCCATTATTGGCTTCAATGCGCCTTTTCGCTTCAAGAATGCACGAAGATCTCCCTGTGCACAGATTCAAGAGCATAGAAAATGATTTTTTGGAAAATTGTCAAAACCAACAATACAAAACTCAAATCAGAAAGATACGCTTTGGATATAAATAAACCTAAGCCAAGTAGAAGTACCTTGGGTAGATATTCTGTAACTATCATCATTGGACTACTCTGAGTAACAGCACCAAGAAATTGGACAACATTTGGGTGACGTATCTTCTGCAGTAATGCAAGCTCATCCCTAAATGCTTGTCTGAGAAACCAATGGAAACAAGATCAAAGTTGCTTGATATTAAAAACAAATGTTGAGCAGAAAAAAACATGTAACATCATATTATTGAAAGCTTATAACCAACCCACACTTTTTCTTCATCCGTGAACAGCGCCTCACCAAATCTCTTAACAGCAACCTGAGTTCCACGCCATGAAGCAATGCAAAATGTACCCTGTCATACATTTCATAAAATATCATCTAAAGCCCAAGACTGAAAATAATACAGCATATCAGAACCATCACCCTCAACAACTATAGATTCAAAACAAAGCAAACTAGAGCTCATGAAATGGCCACAAAATGATGAAATATAAAATTGAATGCATAAGTATGAAGGAAACCAGCAGTGAAACAAAAAGACAAGACTAGAGCAAGTATGTTAATGGACTTAATCCCACTCTAGGTGAGGTCAGCTATGTGGTCTTGATGTGACATGACGATGTTTACTTTTAGTCCAAACAAAAGCACCAAATCCACTATGATTCCATAAGATATCATGTCTTTCTTAATAACTTATATCAAGCACTTCAGTGTATCATTTCCCCTTTATGTCTTATCACTTCCACGCCATCACCCATTTTAAATTGAGAACATCCAACCAACTTAAACCAATTTCCTCTCAAATTTATCCTCAATTTGAACACCTTCAAATAGGCATGTAAAGAAAACTCAACAACTATATCAGGAGGAGAAGAGAATAATGCTTGGACTGCCATATATAGCAACTAGCAAGTAAGTTTTACCTTTGTTATGTCCACACTATTACTGAAATCAAGCTCCTTTGGATCAATTTCATACTCTGGAATTTCACGAGCATTTTGGACATGCATGGGAGCCATCTAGAAAATAAAATCTTAGGAGGTTGAGGTGAGCACTACTCACAATCACTTAAATGGAAAATCAACCAAGGTATACAGGAAGATTTAGAATACAGAACATCCAAATATCGATACGTAGGATTCTAGGACATACTGGAAGTTTTGCTCCATGTGCCTCCAGAAGCTTGACAACATCATTATTTTGGTAGTGTATCGCATCTGCAAGAGGCTGTTCAATTACAGAAACACAAGGCTCAATGCATTAACATGAAATTGTTCACACTATCCACTCGCAATGTATGAAACCTAGCCAAATTACTGACGTAACTGACCGAGTAGAGCATTAAGTTCTACATTTTTCAATATTCACCTAATAGTAGGCTCTTAGAGGCTCAGAGCAGCACCAACAAATATGATAATACTTATCAATGCCGGCTTGCAATACTTATATAAGTCCAAGGTCATTAAAAAAAGGAATAAAGTTCAGTACTTTACTGATAAGTCTCTCTAGAGAGGAGCGAAACACAGAAACCCAATAAAAAACTTAGCCATATGACCATATCTTTATCCAATAAATAAAATACAGCACCAAACATCACAGGCAACATAATAATTTTTAAAAAAATAAAAAAATCTAGAGTTCATCCAATACTATTTGAAGAAAAGTAGGCACTTTGTCGGCAGCAAGAGAACTAGCTGTAGATAAACACATACCACAGACTTTAGGTATCGCCTGAAATTCTCTAAAACTTATTAATCATAAAATGATAATCCTTAACATAATTGGGTAAAGTAATCCAGACCACAGAGAGTATTCTGTATCGCAATTAGGGAATTACCGTGCTGCCCCAGCGATCCTCAACATTGACCTCGGCGCCATTACCGAGCAGCAGCTCCACCACATCCGGATGGCCCTGGCAGGCGGCCACGTGCAACGCAGTCCGGCCGTCGATGTCGCGGAAATTCACAATGGTTCCGGACTCCAAGAGCTCCTTCATTCCCTCCAAATCCCCTTCATTCGCTGAATACATTAGCCTTATCCCCGAATCAATGCCTTCCTCAACTTCATCTCCCCCGCCGACGGCGTCTCTCTCCGGCGCCAGCGACGATTGCCTCCCGAGACTGAACCTTGACTGCGACTTCGATTCCATAGGGTTTTATAACAAAAAAAAAAACAGTAAAATTGTAACTATTTCAGCGGCTTTGCTGAACAACCAACGGAATGATCAGGCAACCGTTTTTATCTGTTTGTCTCTGCGCTAAAAAGAGTTAAAGCGTCTGGTAATATCAGTTCCAGACAAATCAGAAAACTCGACGGAAATACGGAATTGGTCGGAAAGCGAAATGTGGGGCTCCGGCACTTGAGGGATAAGGAAGACGCTACAATGGCCGACGAGAGAATATAGCGAAGTCGGCTATAAGTGGTTAGTCCACGCCGAGTGAAATGATTCAATGAAGAATAAACGAAGATATTTATTTATTTATTTTTAATTTTTATTTCTTAAAGTGAACACCTCCAATGATGCAATGCAAGAAGATAGATTTTTTTGTTGGGCCGAATGGATAAAATTTGATTCTCGTTGAGTCATTTATACGCTATTACACGAGAAAGGTTTACTTAATGTACGTTTTTTAATAATGATTTTTGTTTTCTCATCACTCAACATTCAACAATAGATGCTTTTAGATAGTAACTTTCATTTTTCTCGTCATCTAACAACTATTTTTTCCCACACCTTTATTTGGATTCAAACAAAAGTTAATAATGAAAACGATTTATAATTATATAAATATTTAAAATTGAATACATTGACCAGGACTATGTGGTCTAATGGTATCTGGGTTGGACTTCCATTTGGAAGGTTATGAGTTCGAGCCTCAGTGGAGGCGTTATTGGCTCTTTGTGTTTCAGTAGATTGAGAGAGTATATGAACAGATACTACAATCTAATAGAGCTAGTAACATTCAAAAAAAAAAATTGAATACATTGAAACTAATCATATTCGTGACAAATAGGCATTAACCCTATTTAATATCATTGCATTTTTAGGGTCTGAATCAACATTTAGTTAAGTTCGTTGAATGACCCCATAAGCCAATAGATCACTCCACTTTGAGTCGAATTTGAAACATTATGATTACCAAGCTAACAGTTTGACCAACTTAGTTTTGATTGTCCCATTTTTTTTAGTTAGTCTCTTGTGATACCGTCTTACTGATCATTATATTATCAGTTATACGGGTCAGGTCATGAAGAAAAGTAACACTTATGTTGAAAAATATAATACTAGTCAATAATAAATTATTTATTACTCATAAGAAAGAGCGTAATACTTTTAAAGTAAAATATAATATTTAGGACTGACTAGTTACTTATGAAAAAAATGTAATTTTTTTTTTGAAAATAGAAAAATGTAATATTAATCATGGATAAATAAATTGTTTACTTGTTATTTATGATAGAAAATGTGATATTTTAATACAAAAATATAATCTTAAGAGTAAAAAGTTACTTATGATAATGAAAATTGTAATACTTATTATGTGAAAAAAATGTAACACTTATAAAAAAAAAATATGACCCATGATCCGTGATATGATCTCATAGGAGAATTTACATTTTTTTTTTTTTTGAAAAATGGTCAAATACGTTATCAAACTTTACCTAAGAAATCAATTAGGCCCCTAAAATTTAAAGTGACAATTAAACCCATCAACATTAATGTATTTTGGTGCAATGAGATCCGAAAATCAATTAGTGACCTGCTATCGCAAGTCACTAGAGTTCCAGCAACCTCCAATAATACTTCGACGCAATTTTCGATGAAAAAATGATTGACGATCGGCAAACCAATGCCGACCGCCATTAAAGCTAAAAATGAAGGCGACCACTCTCCGGTGAGAAGGTGGGTCACCTTCTTCATTGAGAAGGCATGCCGCCTTCATTTTCAACTTCAATAGCGATCGGCGCCTGTTCGCCGGTCTTTTTTGTTGAAAATTGCACCGGAGTATTCTCGTGACTTGCGTAATCGATTTTTAGGCTTCATTACGCTAAAATACAATATAATGTTGATGAATTTAATTATTACTTTAAAAAAGTTTAAATATCTAATTAATTTTTTAAGTAAAGTTCGATAACTTATTTGATTTGTTATATATATATATATATATATATATATATATTACAATAAACATTCAATATATTATAATTAATTAACAAACACATGCACAAAAACGTTGACATTTAAAGTCTCAATATGACAACATAGAATGAAAATTACGAAACCATGTGTAGTATTATATTTTATCAACTGTCCAAAGCATCAAGACATATTTTTTACATACGACTGTTGCTGTACATGTAACATGGTTGATTGTCAATATCATATATAGTATATTTCGTAATTATCGAGGATATACTGTTGATTATTTTATAGGGGAGCAGATGGTACGTTTCAGAAGCAAAATGCAATTATTTTTTGACTTGTTCTTCACGTATTAGATATATATAGTTGAATATAATATAGAATTAATTTCACTTTTGGTCCCACGACTTTTGATGTTCTATCACTTTTGGTGCACAACTTTAAATTTTTTTAATTTTGGTGCCTAACTTTGTTATTTTTATCAATTTTGGTCCTTTCGGCCAAATTGACTGTGAAATATTGTTGGATTTTATATTGTTAGGGGTAAAATCTTCATCCCAAGGAAACATCTTCAATATCTAAACAAGATCAACGTAAAATCATATCTATAGGTGTTTGATGATGAGAATAATGGGGAAGATGGGCAGAAACCAGACAGATCTATGGGATTTATAGTTTCGACCATTGGCAAACTCTTCTTTTCCTCTTAATATGATTTTTCTTTTGTTTAAATATTGAAGATCTTTCCATGTGATGACGATTTTGCCCCTAAAATATAAAATCTGGAAATATTTTACCGTCAATTTGGCTAGAAGGACCTAAACTGATAAAAATAACAAAGTTAGGCACCAAAATTGAAAAAATTCAAAGTTGTGCACCAAAAGTGATAAGAACTCAAAAGTCGTGGGACCAAAAGTGAAATTAATTCATATAATATAATACATACATGCATGATCGGTGATCCAATCATACAGCATGGGCTATAAAAGGGTTCTTTGGATTATTTTATAAGATTTTTTTTTTTTTTTTTTTTTTTTTTTTTTTTTTGTGTGTGACTAAGAAAATTGACAATTATTATTGATAATGTATACTAGTAAATGATATTCTTGTGTAGTGTTGTAATTAATCACATTAAAAAGCTTATGTATTAGAAATGTTTACGGGCTTGACTGAAATTATTGATAAAAATTAAATTATTTGTGCCTTCAAGAACATTAGTTTAATGGTCACGCAATACTTACTTTTAGCGACTTTACTTTTCCATAGATTTAAGGACGGATTCATAAAATTTAAGATATAGTTTAGTAAAATTGAAAAAATATGAAATATTTAAAAAAAAATTGAATTTATGATCTTTTAGTACAAGAGTCATGCTTAAATTTTTTTTTTTCCTTTTCTTTTAAAGTTTAATGTTGTTATCATTGTTCGTACGCGGTGCACTTAAAATATGTTTTGTTGGCTGTCATTTTTTGAGAATGTAATTCCAGCCGCACCATGAGGCCAACTTGGTCCTTTTTTATTTTTTTTTTTATTTTTTATTTTTTATTTTTTTTTATTTATTGCTTTCACTCTACACAATCTTATTATTATTATTATTATTATTATTATTATTATTATTAAAGAAAAAATAATATGTTCACTAGTTTAGGAAGCTTGTGAACACTAATCATAATCACATGTCCTATTGCTAAATGCTAATTATCTTCACGGTACTAGGCAAGGAGCTTATGAGCCTTTTCGACGGGCTCAAGCACCCTGTGGCTAGTATCATGAAGAGACAACGAGAGTAACGAGACTGGTAGACGAGACTATTTTAGGAAAAAATACTATGTGTACTCCTATTTTCTACTCTCAACTTTTACTTACACACACAAAATTTTGATATAGACACTTGTATTGGGACCCACATAGAAAAAATAACTTATCAGAGTCTGTCACATCATGGAGTAAAATTACTCTCTTCTACACACTAAACAAAAAATAGCTTATCTGAGCCCTTAAAACTGCCAACAAAGAATCAATATCACCTCTATTGAAGAGCTCAAACTCACAATGCAACCTCCATTGCCAGGCACCAAGTCGCTCATATATAATTCTTTCTTAATCTAATCTAATGAAGCACAAAGAATCAACAACACCTCCACTGAAGCTCAATCTCATGACCTCCCACATGAGAAAGGTCACTACATGCCATCTGAGTACAAGGTGCTTGGCATATAAAATGAATATTATTGACTCTTAAATTTTTTTTTTTTATTTAGTAACGATCTCGATTATTTGTTAATAAAAAAAAAAAGGGTTAAAATTAATCACCTTTGTATTATATGTGTAGTGCCTATTATCACAAGTCACAACTCACAACCCATCCAGCCTCCATGAAAATACTTCAAGACTGGTACTGCGGACTGGCAAATTATGCTGTGCATCCGTATGCACCATGCATGGTGCATACGGATGCAAAAACGACGTCGTTTTAATAAAACGCGCGTCTCCCCTTTAAAAAAAAAAAATCAGGTTCGATTCCCAGCAACAACAGATGAACTATATTTCCATAATCGATAAACTATATTTCCATAATCGATGAACTATATTTCCATAATCGATGAACTATATTTCCATACTCTAATCTATGAACTAAAAATTTCAGAATGAATGAACTAAAATTCCATAATCTATAAACTAAAATTTCAGAATCGATGAACTACAATTCCATAATCGATGAACTATAATTCCATAATCAATGAACTATAATTCCATAATCTATGAACTAAAATTTCAGAATGAATAAACAATATAATGTTGTTGTTGGGAATCGAACCTGAATTTTTTTTAAAGGGGAGACACGCATTTTTTAATAAAATGACGTCATTTTGGCATCCGTATGCACCACACAGCATAACGATTGCTGCGGACTTGCATGGCTAAGACTAGAGCTAAAATATATTGGATCCATTAAAACTTATAAGGTCCATTAATGGGTCATTGGGTTAATATAATTAAGAGGCCCAAAGTTAACAATCCTTATACCATGGACCAGGATTTAAAGTGCATTGTAAATCCTGAAGCATGTGTATGTGCTTTTTAAGTTGTGAGTTTTTGTAGTGTGTATTATGAAATTATGTACCTTATAGAGTATGAATTTGAGTTGTATTTGAAATAAATTAGTAGTTGTGTCTTATGTTATAAATTTCTGTGTTTATAAACTCAAATTTTGTACATAAATTAGATTTGAAAAAATAAGTAAATATATTACATGTGTATGCGTCTTGTGTTGTGATTTTTTGT